GGGGCGTTTACCCCTGCGGCTCTGCTCAGCATCCAGCTGTCTACACTGAGATCTGCAAATACCGCGACTGGATAGAGAAAACCATCCGCTCCAAGTGACCCAAAGGCCCTGCAACTGCTTTGCCATCTGCCCTCTTCCTCCTTCCTCCCCTCCTTCCCCCGCAGACAGCTGGACTCTCCCGCTGCCCCACTCAAACTTGTCGCCCATCCACACCTATTAACATCTCTCGTCTTCCCTCATGCCTCCTGCCCACTGCTGTTCTCTGCCCGCGTTGAAGCCAAGATGCAGAACGTGGTGGCAAAATTTTGTTCATGAGAAACGAGGAAGCCGGTGGTCACTAGTCTCTGAGAGAAGTTATCAATCACCCAACCTGGCTCCCTCCACCACTCCCTGATGTGTGACCTTGGGCAAGCCAAGCATCTTCTCTAAACCTCAGTTTCCTCACCTGGAAAATGGGAACAATGAAGTGTGTACCTCATAAACGTGTTGTGAAGAGACTGTAACCTGCGTGTAGATTGCTATGGTAATTGTCATGCAAAAGTACTAACACAGTGGGTAGTGAGCTCTGATTAAATGGCTGACAGGTCCTGGTGGGAATGTGTGTGATTTTGTGTCCTGGGGAGAAAAGCACAGGGGTACCCTACCATCCCAACCCCCCATACCATCCCCATCCCCATCCCTCAGGGCTGATGGGAGAATTACATTCCTCACCCCCCTGTCAAGTTCCATGAAGCACCTCTTAACCACTTCCTTCTTCCCTCCCACTGTTTCCCATGTCTGGGTCCACCCAACACCTGTTCCTCCTGTCCCAGGAGGAACTCGGCTGTCTCTGAGTCATCTGGTACCTTCTGTGCCTTCCTGGGGCCACTGGAACTCAAGGGACCTCATCCTGCATCCATCTCAGCCTCTAAGACCAGAGGACCTCACCCCACTTCAGTTGCTAAGTTTATGCAAAGAAGCCCTCTGAAATTTAGAGGAAATTTTTTGGTTTCTTTGTTAGATCCATCCCCATCCCCTCACCTGCTACTGGCTCCAATTCCAGCTCTACCACGTCTCCATTCTCATTCCCTGATCCGACACCCAGACACCCTAAGTCCAACTCCATCCCCACCCCCATCCCAAACTGGCTTTGAAATTTTGTCCTGAAAATTGGGAGGAGGGCTTCGTGTCCTGTCCCTGAAACTGTCCCTGTGTAAATATTCCCATGCTAGGGGCTATTATACACAGAATCCAGGCAAAGCTAACACAAGTTCCAGTGTCTCCACTTAGCCCAGACTTTGGAGCGGTAACATAAGCAGAACACATGCACGGTAGCAATTTTCCATCCAGCACAGGCTGTTTTGTCCACTCGCACAGCCCTCCCCTTTTCTTTTTTGGCGAGGCTTGTGGGATTTTAGTTCCCCGAGCAGGGATCAAACCCGGGCCCTTGGCAGTGAGGGCACGGAGTCCTAACTACTTTCCTGTTTCCCTTTTCAAACACCTATTTATTTATTTTAAAATACAGTATTTCAGTTTCATTTTTTTTATTTTTAAATATTTATTTATTTATTTATTTATTTATTTATTTATTTATTTATGGCTGCATCGGGTCTTCGTTGCTGCGTGTGGGCTTTCTTCAGTTGCTGTGAGGAGGGGGTACACTTCGTTGCGCAGGCTTCTCATTCCAGTGGCTTCTCTTGTTGCGGAGCACGAGCTCTAGGCGCGCGGGCTTTAGTAGTTGTGGCTCGTGCGCTCAGTAGTTGTGGCGCGTAGGCTTTACAGTGCAGGCTCAGTAGTTGTGGTGCACGGGCGTAGTTGCTCTGTGGCATGTGGGATCTTCCCAGACCAAGGCTCAAACCCGTGTCCCCTGCACTGGCAGGTGGATTCTTAACCATTGGGCCACCAGGGAAGCCCACACCAATTTACTGAGCACCTGTTGTATGGCAGGCCCGGTGCTGGGCGCCGGGAACACAGTGGTGACCACAAGGTCCCTGCCCCACAGAGCCCACAGAAGACCGGGGCACAGGGTTTGAGCAGAGACTACACAGCACTCTTCCGCTGACTATCCCCCCACTCCTATTAGCACACCCAGGAAACATTAATCAGGCTTATCAGCTGAGTTCATTACGCAAGAATCAGAAGCAAAGTAGGTAGGAACTCAAAAACTCGATTCATTTTTAAAGGCAATTCACCCATTCCTTTAGTCACATCATAAATGTTTACTGAGCCATGTCCTATGCCAGGTCTTAGAGATGAATCAGAGTGAGCCCTACCTTCAAGAAGCTGCTAGTCAGGTCAGGAAGCCTTACATTCTTGTCATTTGGGTCTCCATTTAAAGGTCACTTCTTCAAGGAGGCCTTCCAGGATTGCCCTGGCTAAAGGGGTCTCCCCCTGTACCCCTCCTCCCTGGCCACTAGTCCATGGCTCTGTTTATTTCTTTTGCAGCACTTGTTATAGCAAAAATGATCTCATTTATCTGTTTACTCCATAATGGTCTGTCCCCTACTTCCCCTCACCCAGTCAATGTGGGCAGGGACTCTGATTTATTCACTGTGGTTTTCTAAGCACCTGGTCTGTTGCTTGACACACAGAAGGCATTTAACACATTGTTGAATTAACAAATAACACAAATTGATCAGTGTTGTAAAAGAAGGAGGCATAGGGTGCCCCAAGAGGGCCTAAGGACCCCTCCTGAAGGAATCGGGGAAGGCTTCTCAGGTGAGGGGATATGTGCATGGGGTTTTAAAGGATCAGTAGGAGTTCACCAGGAAGAAAATATATTTCTGTAACTCACTGTGGTACTTGAGCAAAAAACTTCTATGCTCTCTCTACCACAGTTATCCCCACTATGAAATAGAGATTGGTTAGACTCTTGTGAGAATTAAATGAGAAAGCATACATGAAATGTTTAGCCAACTGCCTGGCACAGAGTAAACAGTCAATAAAGTTAGCAATCAAAATGTTCTATAGGGCTTCCCTGGTGGCACAGTGGTTGAGAGTCCGCCTGCCGATGCAGGGGACGCGGGTTCGTGCCCCGGTCCGGGAAGATCCCACATGCCGCGGAGCGGCTGGGCCCGTGAGCCATGGCCGCTGAGCCTGCGCGTCCGGAGCCTGTGCTCCGCAATGGGAGAGGCCACAACAGTGAGAGGCCCGTATTTTCACCTCCTAAACCTTCATCGAAAGTCGCTTCGTTTGTAAAAAAAAAAAAAAAAAAAAAAAGTTCTATAAAGCAGTTAGTATGGCACTTAGCACATAGTGGGTATTCAGTCCCTGGTCTCGAGGACTTCTCAGTCTGCAGAGGGTATAAGGCAACTGCAGCCATGGGTAATAGATATTATGATGGTGGCAGTGCAGGGCTCTATAGGTGAGGGACAAACATATTTATTGAATGCCTACCACAGTTGTAAGTGCTTCATACGTGTTAATTCACATAATCCTCCCACAACTCCAGTTATTATTGCTACTTAATAGATGGAGCAACTGAGAGAGGTCCAGTGACTTGCCCAAGGTCACACACTTAATAATTACCAGCATTGAGGTTTGGACCCACATGGTCCAGTTCCACAGTCCATGCTCCAAACCACTAAATCATGGTGAGTTGTACACATTCAAGGGGAGCCCAGACCCAGCCTGATAACCAGGCTTACAGCAACAGAAAGTGGAAGAAGCCTGGAAGTGCCCAGGCTGGAAAAGATGGACTCTGCCTGGAGAAATCAGAGAAGGCTTCCTGGAGGAAGGGGCATTTAGGTTGGATCTTGAAGAATGAGTTGGAGTTTACTGGAAAAACAAAGATGTGGAGAAAGACATTCACTCATTCAATTAACATCTCCTGAGGCCCCCCCCCCCCCCCCCCCCCCCCCCCCCCCCCCCCCCCCCCCCCCCCCCCCCCCCCCCCCCCCCCCCCCCCCCCCCCCCCCCCCCCCCCCCCCCCCCCCCCCCCCCCGCCATGATCCCAGCCCTGAACAGGGTGATGCGAGGGACACAGAGATGAGTCAGATCTGGGCTTGGCCCTCCAAGGGCTGCCCATCTGGTGAGAAGGAGGGATGGGGGAGAGGCAGGAAAGATGAGGTGATGGGAAGGACAGTGGAGGGGAGGAGATGGGTGGAGAAAAACAAGACCATGTTCTCAGGACTTAGCCAAGATATGGTGGCATTAAGAGAATGGGAAAAGTGCTTAGTTCCACCTAGGTTGGGCACCTGGATCCTTGGAGTGGTGAGGATGTGAAAAAAGAAGTAGGTTATGACAAGAATGAGTTAACCCAGTTGGAACCATGCTAGGAGAGGCCTCTGTCCTCACCGAAAGGGGCCCAACCCCCAGTGCAGGGAGGGTTCTGTGGGTGTGTACACATGTGCAGCTCTCTTTGTAGTCTCTGCCGCTCCACACAGTGTTTCTGTCTCTCTTTCCTTATCTCATCCTGCATCCTTCAATGTCTTTATCTCTCTGTTTTGTTTGTTTTTCTTTCTCCCTCTTTCCCTGCCTCCCCCCACCCTTGCCTTCTTTGCTCTGAGTCCTGACTCTCTCTCCCACTCCTTGACTGATTTCTGGGAGGTCCTTCTATGTAAACCTCCAGCCTGCCCAGTGCCTTGGTCCCAGCTCACTGCAGCTACATTCAAGATAAAATTGCATCTACCCCAGGACTCCACCTTAGGGATCTTCCTCCTTTCCCTCTTCCTCCTCCAGGCCACAGAATATCCTGTATGTAGATGCTGTAACCAGAAGTCAGGGTAACTGAGGGCTCCTCCCTCTCGTGAACCCCAGAAGGACTATACAACCCAGAGCCCGTCCCCCATTTAGCGGGATTCCCTGATGCTGCAGGCCACCAGCTCATCCTGACAAGTGGTCTCTCTGTGCTGTCTTCCTTCCCAAGGCCCCCAGGGAGGAGGCTTCCCCCTCCCCCTGGGGTATTTCCCAACCCAGATTAATCACCGGGGCGGCCCCAGGGAGGAGGAATATAGTATGATTTACCGTAGAGAAGCACAGACTTGGACAGCAGGCTCGAGGACCAAAGCACCCTGGAGGTCATGAGGCTGGGATTCATCTGTGCTCTGCTTTCTCTCCTGGAAGGTGAGGTTCCTGCCGTCCTGCCATCATGCTGCCCCTCCATGGTCCCCCAGAGCCAGTCTACCATGCTCTTTGTCGCCCAGGCGTCCACTCCTGCCCTCTAGGCATCCCAGCATCTGTCCCCAGCCCGCCCCCCCGCCTCTTCACCAACCCTTCTGCCGCTCACCTCAACCCCAGGGCAAAGCTGCGCAGACACCCGAGCCCCCCAACTCACAGCCCTGGCAGGTTGGGCTTTACTTCCTCACCCGACTCTTCTGCGGGGCGACCCTCATCAGTGACCGCTGGCTGCTGACAGCTGCCCACTGCCGCAAGCCGTGAGTGACCTGGGCGGGCCACTCTGGGGAGGGCCTGGAGGTCAGGAAAGGGAGAGAAGGCAAGGAGCCTCGCAGAGGAGGGAGGGAGCTGTGGGCCGGAAGGGCTGAGCCTCCATTTCTGTTCCCCAAAGTTCAACTCTTTAGAATGACAAAATGCCCACTCTCCAAATTCTAGCGTCCAAAAGAATCTGTTGCTAAGAGTGTAAGTTTTGCAACGTAGGCTCTTAGAAGCCTAGACTCTGACCCAGAAAACCCCAGAGCTGTAGAATCCTAAACTCTTGGATCCAGGAGATGTTACATTAGCTTCACTAAATTGTAGAATCCTAGATTCAGAGACTGGTAGACTCTGAGAAGCCTGGAGCAGCGCTGTCCAATGGAAATATAGCCCCAATCACAGAGGAAAGTTTAAGTTTTCTAGTAGACACATTAAAAAAGGTAAAAAAGAAATGAGTAAAATTAATAATAGATTTAACTTGCCATCTCAAAATATTATTTCAACATGTAATTATCAATTTTAAATATGTATGAATGACATAGTTTAGTCTTTTTTTTTTTTTTTACACTAAGCCTTCGAAATCAGACATGTATTTTACAAGTATGGCATAGCTCAATTTGGACTAGCCACATTTCAAGTGCTCAATAGTTGTGTTGGATAGCGCAACCCTCGGATCTTAGATTCAAACTGTTCTAGCTAGGTTCATTGAGCACAGAAGCTTATAGTCTTAGAATCTCTGAATTACAGTACCCTAGAATACTGTGATCCATAGAATTCTAGAATCTTGAACCAAGAGAATTCTAGAAGCTTATATTCATACATGTCTAGAATCTGGTGGATTTAGTATCCCAGCATGCTATCATTCGAGATTTCTAAAATCCCCCAAGTTTTAACCAAGAGAATTCGAGAGTTTCAAACTATTCGAGTCCTAATCCTTACATTTCTAAAATCAAAGATTTCTAGAATTCTAGAATGATGAAATTCTTGCCTTATTATCCCAGAATATTAGAATTCTAGGTTCTTTGTTTCCTAGATTTCATTCAGATAATTAAAAAATCCTAGACATTTATTTATTTAATTTTGGCTGAGCCAGGTCTTGGTTGAGGCATGCGGGATCTTTGTTGCACCATGAGGGTTTTTTTTTTTTTTTTTTTTTTTTTTTTTTTTTTTTAGTTGCAGCATGCAAACTCTTAGTTGTGGCATGCACGTGGGATCTATGGGATCTAGTTCCCTGACCAGGGATCAAACCTGGGACCCCTGCACTGTGAGCATGGAGTCTTAGCCACTGGACCATCAGGGAAGTCCCCCAAGTCCTAGACTTCTTGATCCAGAGAAATCGAAAACATTAGAATCTCGAATTCATAAGATTCTAGAACCTGGGCCTCATAGAATTCTAAAATCGTGGATTTCTAAGGTGTTAGAATCTTAGAATTCCAGAATCTTAGATTCTGGGCATTCTAACAGAATTCTAGAATCTACCTGATGCAGAAATCCTTTTTATATTATCTGGGGAAAGGGGCCATCCCTCCTGTTTGAAGTTCTTCCCTCTAGGAATGAAGCACAGAGGCTATACAGGATGCTGTGTGAGAATTTCCCACCACGCATCACTCTATGCTGGAGCCTCTTTTAGCTCAGGCCTGTACATCAGGCTAGGAAAACAATGTTCAGATTTCAGCCCCAAAGACAAAGAAAGGGAGAAGCAGAAATATGGAGGTACAAGAGATTCAGGAACAGGGACAAGTTGGGGCTGGGAGGTGGGGTTGGGACCGGTTTCCCAGACACAGAACCAAGGCAACAAGGTGACAGAGAGGGGAAAGGTAGAAATAACACCTCATACTCCTCAAACCCTGAGTTCTCAGTCATTAGCCTCGTCCCTAATGTCAGAGTCAGAGTCTGGGGGATGGACATATAGACCCCTTGAGGGTCCCCAGCTCTCCAGGGCATGAACCCAGAGCAGGACAAGTGGAACTGGACTGGGACTGCAGTGAGGGGGCTTGAGGCTAGACCTCAGGAAGAAAGGCATTGAGAGATGAGGGATTTGGCAGACAGGAAAAGCCTAAGCCTACAGATGACCCCAACTTGGGGATTTTCCATATCCCACCCCTTCCATACACACACACCAAAACACACAGAGCCACTCCCTACAGAAACCACCAGACCTGTGAGGGTGGGGGTGTGTGTCTGTTTTGGGGTGGCAGGTGGAGCCTCCACCTGTCTCCATGGTTCCAGGGGACTCAGGTCACCACTAAGGCTCCAGGTGGGGCAGAGAGGAAGGTGGTTTACTTGACATGGGGCTAGGAAGAGGTGTGAGCTTTTGGGAAGAGCTACAAAGTTAGAGGCAGACAAAGAGATGGAGTAGGAAGCAGGGGGCCAGAGAGGGTGTGTGGCTTGTGGAGAGTCACATAGCATCCTGGTGGACAGAAAAAAGAGGGCGGGGCTGAGAAGACACCTCACCTTATCCCACCTTGACCTCTGGGACCTTTCCAACAGGTTTCTGTGGGTCCGACTCGGGGAGCACCACCTCTGGAAATGGGAGGGTCCAGAGCAGCTGTTCTGGGCCACAGACTTCTTCCCTCATCCTGGGTTCAACCAGAACCTCAGTGCCCAAGACCACAATGATGACATCATGCTGATTCGTCTGCCCAGGAAGGCATTTCTGGGACCTGCCGTGCAGCCCCTCAAACTCAGCCGGACCTGCGTCTCCCCAGGCACCCAGTGCCTAATCTCAGGCTGGGGGGCCACATCCAGTCCTAAGGGTACAGCCTTGTCCACCACACACACCCTATGTTTCATGCCAGGGCTCTGAATCCCCTCTCTTTTTCTGTCTCTGCTTTTTCATCTCTATGTTCTATCTATCTATCACCTATCTATCTATCCATATATTTCATCAGATCTAAATGCTATAAATTATAAGGTGCATCATTATTCTACAACCCGCTAAAAACGAGAAAAGGAAAAAAGGTCCCATCTATCCTTGTATGACATCATTTACTGGAAGGCACAACCTGATTTCAGAGATGTTTAAATGTGAAAATATATGCATCTTAGAATTGAAATAAGGTCTACGTCACTCAGAATCACAAATCAGCAAATCCATTAGTCAAATTTGGCCTCCCACAGCAGTACTGGTTTGCAAAATGTCTTGAAAAAAAAATAAAAACCCTCAGTTTGTTGCTGCCAACATTTAAAACCTGAGAGATTTTACATCAAAGCCAAGTTTCTGGATTCGCTTGAAAAATTCAAGACTGGCAAGCTGGGTTCATATTTCTAAACTAATGACCATTGTTGGGCGGAATCAGTGGAGGCTGCCCCCTTCAAACAAGATGCAGGTTCTGTGGTCCACTGCAGTTCACCCCAAGGGCTGCTGTTTCCCC